CCGGAAAATATGACCAATATTTTTCCAAGATTATTTTTCTAATATATTCTTTTGCTTTTATATACTTCGTAGTATATAGATATCGGCGTTGGTTGGTAAATCTTTGAGAATATTTCTAACTACATACGGATTATTATTTTTTAAGTGATGGCTTGCATATAAAAAAATTATGAGCAAAATTGGAAAATAGTAGAAATTTATATGAAATTATTTTATACGGAGTAATATAAAATGAATAAAAAACAATATATTTTCGAAAAACACTTTGATCACGCTATCTACATTAAAAATTGGAAGCCCAAAGGCCATTACCTAATACTCCGTATTAATTATACTCTTTGGAATCCAAACCCAATCATTTATACTTAGGAAGACAAAAGGACAGTCGCAATATTGTACCCATGCGCAAATAATGTCCGTACATAGATCAAGAGTTTCCAATCAACGGTGCTTTTTGATATTACTTGCTTGCAGTTGTTTAACTAAAGAAAATTTGTAGAAGTATTAACAATGTAGATAGGAATGAATATGATGAGAGTTATGAAACATTATGTAATGATAGAGTAGCATCTAAGCTTAACAATGTGTTCCAGCATTAGTTTATAACTAATCTCATGCCGTGACTATAACTTCAATAAAATACAAAAGTCTGCATTCATTTTTGGAATAAATTAAAACAAACTCTTTCATACAACTTTGGGTATAAGATTATAAGGAAATACGGAGTAGTTCAGAATAATATAAGGCATATTTTTAAATAAATTCAATTGCAAATGGAGACTTTACCCAGGGCTGGCCCCGAAAAATGAAAAAATAAAATTGGCTCGATCCAGAATTTACATATTGGGCCATATTTTATTTTTTTCAAATACTTTTGCTTTAAAATTATTAACAAATTTAAGAGTATGGGGTCCAAAAATTTTAGAGACCTTGTGCGGTTGGCCACTTTGCACACCCTCCGGGCCACCCATGAGCCATGACGTCTTTACCTCTATCATGGATCATATTATTGAACAAAAAATATGGAATTTACATGTTTCAAAAGCTAACAATTTAACTCTAACAATAAAATGAAAGTGTATAGAAAAGTAGTAGTCTGACTATTATTGCCAATTTTCATCTCATGTCTATTTAAATCGTGATGATTTGTGTTTACAAAAAGTGATAGTAACAATTATAAGAGTCACAACTTCTTTTGCGATAAATGAAAAAAGAAGTATAAAACTTTTTATGAGAGAGAGTGCGTATAAAATTTTATCGAAACATTAGCTACTCCAAATTATTTATATGTAATGTTGGATTTGTATTTAATGACACACAAATAATTATTTATTGAACTTATCATAAATCACATTTTTAACTGAATTTCTTGCCGTACGCGTGCAGAGCACGGATATGAATCTACTATCAGCAAAAACCTTAAGAAATGAACAAAAGAAGAGAAAAATATAATTGGTCTATGTTACAGAAGTGCAAACGGCAGAAAAGCAATGAACATAGAAAGGCAAATTAAGAGTCAAAAATTAATTGTTTCATTTATTACTATTGTTGGCTACGACTAATTATTTTTGTTCAATGAACAAAGAAGAGCAAATTAAAGGCCATACATTTATTATTCTGTAGCTGAGCACGCATAAACTTTTTTTTTATTTCTTTTTCTTTTTTTCCACCCCATTTCTTTTGCTTTTGTATATAGTATAGATACTTCCGAGTATCTTAAAATATTCAAAAAAAAAGTCAGGACTTTCCGTCCCTCCCTCCCTTAAACCAATTTTTTATCAAATTCATCAGAATCATCTCTTCTTTCGGTCATCCCCCTCCCTTATTCATCTAGGCAGTGTTCCGTTTAACTTATTTTTTTTAATTATTA